ATTGATACATGCACATGTAATATAAAGTACATGTACACAATTGTAGGTATAGCTTAATTATTATACACTGACTGTCTGTCAATATTGATACACTATCCTTTGTATTGTACTGGTACTTATACATGTACATGTACCTGCTCATTAGTAATTGGACTAGCAAAGCACCACTCTGTATGTATTGCATCTCCAGTCAGGCCCATTTTCTGGTCACGCCCCATGTGTGTACTACTGGGTATTTATCTAATGTGGTAGCAGTAATATTGTAAAAACACATGTCCATTAATACATGCATTAAACTACAGCTAGTATAACTGGAAGAATACTGTAGCACATTTAAAGGATGAGCAGTACATGATGATATCACAATGTTTGCTTAACTAGACGAATGTAAAACATTGAAGGGGCGAGCACGAGCATACACTGACTTGCATGGATGACCCATTGGAAGAAGATTTTATAGCTTGCTCTTCTACCTTTATTATTAGCAAAGAATCTCAGCTGCAATTTAAGCATAATTGTAAATGAACAATGATTATGCTTACTAGTTAAACAACATATCAAGCAATAATACATACATAACAATATGCTACATTTATTGCATTGTTGAGTTGTATCATTTTAATTTAAAATTAATAAACTAAACACATAAAAGCTATTATATCGTGATAGTTTCACTATCGGGATAGTAATTGAGGCAAATATTGTGATAGTGATTTTATCACTATCGCCCAGCTCTACCTTTAAGATTTAGATCTATATCTTCTTTCTTAACTTCTTTCTGCTGGAGAAGTACCTGGACAACAGATCAGTCTTATTTGCTGCAAGTAAGCTTCAGTAAGATTTGCTCGACTTGGTTTCACATAACCTTGATAGTCGCCTTTTTGTATTTGTTTCATTGCAACCACTTCCACACCAATGAAAATATTTCATCAGAATGCTACCGCATTAGATCATTGATTTTAAATAGAGAGTAGTAGTGCACACATGGGGTGTGACCAGAATAGGCGTGACTGGAGATGCACCTACATAAACATACATACATAAATGTGCATACAAAAGACTTCTCGCCTGAGTAGGGCTCGCTCAGGCTCACCCCAATTACTGTTTACACTGTATGAAACATACATGTATACTAACTACTGTATAATTGATTTGAATCACGTATAGTATACATGTACATTGTCAATGTACTTATTGTGCACTGTGTCTGATGTTATAACTGTATAGCAGGAAATTTCATTTCCAGAAACTTCGTTTTCTTTTTAAGCAGGCTTTACAAGATATTTTTGTTGATTTTATTTCTTCATTTTGCCTAACATAAATTTTCACTGTCACGGCCACTTAATTAGTGACATGTGTATGGTTTAAGATGGAAGAATGTCCATAGTTTGTGGTTACTACATTTATAAAGACATTTCGAGCCCATCAGTTGGAGGGGAGTTGCCTTTCTGTGTCGAGCCTGATAATGCCACAGATCGCTAAGCCATGGCTGTAGTGAAAAGAGAATCTTTTGTGGGTCAAAAACTTTAGTTAGATTAAATTTTCATTGTCTAAAAATTTCGTTCAAAATTTT